CTTGACACAATGGATGTATGGATGGATTGTGATAAGAGTTGTACAAGCTCCTAATAAAATGTTTTAAAAAATAATAAAAATAAAGGAGACTTGGTGGTGCCATGGGTTAAGTATTGGACTGTTAATGACATTGATGGTTCAGAACCACCAGCTGATCTGCTGGAAAAAATGAGAATGTCTGTTCCAATAAAGATTAATGTTCTTGGAAAACCTATATAGGTAGGTTGCTATGAATCAAAATCAACTTGATGGCAGTGTGTTTTGTTTGGGGATAAGGCTATACAATTATGCTACCTTGATTCTGACTCATGGTGACGCCCTGTGTGCAGAATAGATCACTAACGACTCAAAGTAGTCTAAGTAGGAGAACTCAGGGATAGAAAAGAAATTACTGGGTGACACAGATGATAAAGTGTTTCACTACTAGACAAGAAATTGATAATTCAAACCCACCCACATGTGTCTTAGAAGACAGTCTGGATTATATGATGCTCAGTGGTCACAACTTTGAAACCCAAGGAGCATAGTCCTGTTTGGCAGACATGAAGTTGCCAAGAGTCAGCATGCAGAGAAATTCTGAACAAAAATGCTGTGGCAATGTTAAGGGGGCAGACTGAAACAAGTCCATCTATTTGGTGCAAAAATAAGAATTGTCCTTGATAAAGATTGATTCAGGGTATAGTCATGCTTCCCAAAAATTGTGGGATAGTCCAGATCATTGCAACGTTTCCTTTTAGTTTCTCAGTGCATGTAAAAGTTGTATTTACAGATCCTGGGGGCACTGTGGTTAGGTTTTAGGCTGATAACTGTAAGTTTGGCTGGTAGTTGAAGCACACCCTCTCACCCCCAGCAGCTGTTGAAAGAAAGATGAAGTTGTCCACTCCCATAAAGATTTACAGTCTTGGAAATTCTATATAGGGTTGCTGTGAGTTGAAACTGATAAAAGGCAATGGGTGTGTAGTCTATTGAGTGTGAAATAGCATTATGAAAACATTTAGAATATTCTGAGGATTACCAAGAATGTGGCACAGAGACATAAAGCGAGCACATATTGTTGGGAACATGGTGCTGATGGGCTTACTCGGTCACTGCAAGCTTGCCACAAACATTCCATTTGTGAGAAATGCAATGTCTACAGTCAAGTGATGCACAATACCATGGGGGTATCCCTTTATTGCGAGTATGTCTTTCACGTGGTTGGGAGAGAATGAAGTGGAGAAGACCGGTTTGTGCAGGGGAGAAGAATGGCAGTTGGAAGATGCAGTTTAAAAGTTAACAGAAATTTTCTGGGGGCAAGGGTCCCTAGCAGGACCGATTCTAACACAGTGGTATCCAGTGCGGCTAGTGCTTTATACCCTGTGAGGTACAGGAAGAAACTGTCAGAACATCTACTTATATTTTTCTAGTTTTAAAATGTATTTTTTGTGGCTTTGTAAAGTACATAGGATGTTAAAACGGGTATTTTTTTGTATACTTCATAAATAAACCAAATGCGTGTGTGTTTTCAACAATTACTTTTTTGATAAAGGTATTCAATCAAAAGAGTTTGAGACTATGGCACTAAAATATCAAAGACACAGGATGCTCAGTCTCCTAAAAGTCAATATTTTAGTGGACATCATGGAGCTACATGTAGGCAAATGTTTCAGCAAGGTGAAAGTAAAATATGTAGTGAAAATAAGTGTGCCCTAGAATCCTAAAGAAGTTTTTTTTTAATTTTTTTTTATTTGTGCTTTCTTGAAACCTTACTTCTTTCTTAAAGAAGTGAGCTTTATGAAGCTAGGAACAGAGTAGAACTCACTAAGTACTTTTCATTTGATTGCTTTTCCAAACCAAAGACTTGATCATCAATGATTGAGCCCAGCATGCTCCAAAACACCAGGTATGAACTGACAACCAAGTTCCAGAAAAATCTACTTTGATATTTTCTTAACTCAACAGCCCTCGAATATCTGAATGACATTTGTAAATCAGTAAAAACACACTTTATGATGGTTAAATGCAAGGCAACAGCTCTCTAACTTTTCCCTCCCTCTACTTAAGGCAGGCAAACAAAATGGAAGACAGAACTATTCTGTTTCAAACATGAGAAACCTTTGCTTTTGGAAAGCTTTATAATCAAAATAAAAAAATAAATTGAACAGATTCATCTTCAAATGTTGTACCTCTATTGTACTCTGAAAATATCATTTCAACTTATCAAAAAGGGCCATGATCTTTTTCTTTTGTGTGTTAGGGTTCTCTAGAGAGATAAAACCAAATTTTGATAATTTAATATATTTATTTATAAAGATAATTAGATATATAACACAAGAAACGAACTGTTAAATTATATACAGATAAATATATAATACAAGAAATGAACAGTTAAGTTATAAAGCACTACAAATGGCTCAGTGCAACTCACTCCCATGAGAGAAAGTTGTGAGACACTAGCAGTCCTTCAAGTCTAGTCTGCTGCCAGGTCTTCCTCTATATATAGAGAGAACCAGGCTATCTCAGCACAGCAGCCAGTCACAAGGCAGGTCACCAACTGTCAGCCAGGTCACCAACCACCAGTCCCCAGCTCCAGAGATGTCTTAAAGGGACCTCAACTTACAGCAACACAGTTCACAGGCTAGGAGTCCCAGAGGTAGTGTAGCCTGTAAATTGAGGCACAGAACAAGCAAGGCAGCTGCACACGGATCCAATGATCAAAGAGCGAGAGACAAGAAAGGCAAGGCTCACCGAGCCATTTATCTCTTCACCCTTCAGTTAA